ATCCACCTGGGCAGCACGCAATCCCACGCGACCTGTTATTCGACCTCGGACGCCACCACCTCGGCTGACGGATGCACAAAAAGCATCCCGGAAAATCAAGAGGGACCAGAAGAGGGAGGCGACAAAAAGCTTACATGATGGTATCTCTGAGTACCTCGACGAGCAGAGGGTGAAAATAGAGGTGCTCGCCCGAACTCACAATGTCACCCCAAAGCACATCAATGACATCATCAGCGTCCACACGAATTACCACAACTCCCGCAAGCCCCGGTTGATCAACGCGCTTATTCATGCGAAGGCAAAGGAACTAAACGCCGGTAAGTCTTTTGATGTTCTCAATACGATATCACTGCTTACCTTATGACAATCAGATAAACCTGCAGGGTCCCATTACACGCTGGCTGAGCTCCGTGAAATGGTCACAAATGACCCTCAAATGAACAAATTGACGGAAGAAGAAAAGGCCTCTTACATAGAGGCCCTCAATGAGCATCGCGACAAGAAGGCACTTGGTGTTTGTGCGAATAATTCCGCAGCTGCGCGAGATGTGGTAGCCACAACAGAAAGACTTGTGAAAGAGGTACGTTTTTTTGAATATTTACGTCTACAACCAACTAAAATAAACTTATACTAGCTGGATGACCTACGTGTTCGGACTGGCATCTATGCGACATTATTTGTCGTTCGTGGTCACATCAACGACACGATCCAAAGCACCATGCATGGCACCGACAATACAGAAGACTTTTGGGAGGACGTTTACGAGCATCCGATGGCAGATTTTCTGCGTCAATATGAACAATGGGCGTGCACACAGGATCAGAGTAAGTTTTACGTTATATATACTTGCCTGGCCATCATTGAATGTCGTGCAGATCTTAACGAGCGTGAGTCTTTGGAGGCAATGCGAAAGCAAGTGCGTAAAATGATCTTCCGTGGGTTATGTGAGTGATTGTGTTGTTTTGCATGTGCTGGCCCCATCTGACACTGTTTTCAGTTGCAGTGACTGGTAAAAAGGATATCGCCATGAACTACCATAACTACGAAACCGCGATCGTCGAAACTTATGGAGTGCGCCTTGTAGGATGGCCCCACGGGGTCAACTTCATTAGTCCTTCGAACATTGGAACAGTTGGCGACATTCGGAAGCTTCGAGATGCACTCAAGAGTTGTATCTGCTACTGGACAGTTCTCTCGCCAGAAGAAGTTAAATCCCACGCAGCTGAACTCAACACGCGCCGTTTAGCTGGCGAAATTGTTCGCAAGCCACGCAAGAAGCGTTCGGACTCTGGAGTGCCTCGAAAGCGCAAGGCACCGGCTACCGCAGGACAGGCTGGCCAGGAAAATCAGAGGGTGTCGAAGAAGGCGAAAAGAACCGCTCCACAGCTTCGCCAAGCCCCCAAGAGCTCTGAAGTTGTTGAGTCATCTGACGGACTTGAAGATGAGTAATAGTACTGTTCCATTGCTGTAGTCTAGTTTATGGACATAAATGTATTCCCTACGTACTAAAATCATCACTGGTGCATGTGTCGTCGAAACGCGGTGTCGATCCCATTACTTGAACGTGAGATATGCGAGCTCGTCGCGTCGCACAGCGAGCTCGACGTTTCATATATTATTAGCCGACGCTGGGAACACGTCACGTCATTTGCCGAGATGCCGGCGGCAGCACGCACCCAGTCCTATAGTCCGGTTGGTATGTAAAGTCCCTCTTTATCCAGGAGATATTGAAGGAGGCGGTGATCCGCTGAATTTGCCTGACCTTAAAGGTGCGAGACCCATCTACTATCACCTATAATAAAAGCATTTACGTGGGAATCACAGGTGACTTTGATTATCGCGGACAGTGTTTATGCTGATTATGGGAACTCAGGTAAGCAGCGAGCTCATCATATTGTATTACTAATACACTCACTACGCCCATACTCCGCAGAGCTCGAAAGACCACAGCAAGTATCGGTTGAGCAAACACTCAAGAAATCACAGTGAACAATTCCCATGACGGTCATTAACGACGGAATGGCATTTGGCTTGGATTGCCTCTACTATAGGCGTGTGTTTACCGCGACCTAATTGTGAGCTTACAGCTGGGATGGCGCTGACTCGGCGACTTCATGGCGTGATACTGTGAACAATTCAAATAACGAGCGTCGACAAAGATCTGCATAACTGCATCGTACTATGTAATTAATGAAAGCTGAATTATGGAAAATAGCTTATAAGAGGATACGTACCATAGAATACTCTTGTCTGTGAGGAAATAATCCACCATAGGTTGTCGTCCGAGGTTTCCTATAGCTAGCACACAGTCAAAGTGGCCTTGACAAACTTGTATCAGAGCCTTGGTGATCAACCTGTCTACGAAGCGATATACGCAATCACAACGAGTTGATCTCCAGCCGAGTCAATTGGCATATGATACAACGAAGAGACATGTACCACGAGGATTACAAGAATCCACCGTGACTGGAAGCTCGAGAAACAACTGCGGTCCAACCCCTAAGCCCCCTTGTGAAAATGTCTGCTAAAATCTTCAGATTCATATCAGCATAGACAGCAATCACGTATAACTCCAACCGGTCAAGGTACGAGTTATGCAGTGCCGACCCCAAAACAAGTTTAACTCTAGCAACCCGGGCCAGTGTGGCTGCCAACATGGAACCGCCTGAGTATCCTGTCCCTCATCCTTTTGGTCGTGGTTTTGTGATATCCTAGTCTATGGTATTCCCCGTCTGATATCTACGAGATCCTCGTTAAGCGTTTATAATGGAAGGAGAACCTCGTACCTAGATGGGGTTGGGGCATGATGCACAACCAACTTCCTCCCACCACATCTATGTAAAGCTGCAGATTCGACGGTGTACTACTAAGTGTAGCGGGAACTTAGCAACAAAAGAATAGATCGAGTTATGAGTGAATGAACCCGGTTGGGGCCGGCCTGGCTGGGGCATAGATAGCTTCTGCCCAGACTAGGTAGCGCTACCCATTTCAATAGTGTAAGTCTGCCACCGCGAGTCATGTCACAGTAGCGAGAACTTAGCGAGTTCGGGAGGGAAAAGAGTACTAGATCGAGAGTGAAGAGCCAGTGAGTGGGGATCAATTCGCTGCTGAAATGCAAGGTACAGACCAGTTTTTATATGTAAAGGATTAAGTCATACTGAAGTAGAAAGGGAGTGACTCAATGCCACTGCCGCGATACCGTGACAAAGGGGAGTCCATCGTCAGAGGAGGAGTATTAATGGCACTCCTTACGAAGGTCCTGAGCAAAAACAAAACACCAAGAAAGTGACAGGTAACTCCAAAAAGAGATGAAGAAACGATGGAACGGCTAGGACACGTACTACCCATGGGCGGTAGTCTGAATCTTTGGATGACTGGGGACGACAATTGTGAATTTGTTGCATGGACGAGTTTTGAACAAAAACGACAACAGCATTGTCGGATTTTCTGCCTTGCGATGTCGCGGTCGAATGCAGACAGGTAGACGATTACAGATCTATCTCAGTCATGAATGTGTGTAACAAGTATAAGTAAGTGGCCAAACCGTGGTCGAATAACAAACAACAACGTTGTGCAGACCCCAAGCTCATGAGGAAACCCATTCACAAACAAGGCGCATCATTAATCGTCGACTTGACGCATGGCGGCTGATAACGCAGCCAAGGAAGCCGACCCCCAGACCAACTCGTCGACTGTGAAGAGACCATTGTACGAGGGAAGCACGCAGTACAAGAGCTGGAGATACTCCCCAGAACAACTGGAGCAAATTCGCACTTCCCTCAATGTGGCTGCAGTATCGGTCATACGGAACACTTTCGAGGCAGATGAGGTGCGAAACCCACTTTCCATCGTTTCAGTCCCTGTCGAATTAACTTATCCGTTATAGCCTGGATCGTCCGAGGACGTGTTGTTCCTTAATGCAAATGAAGAGCAGCTCCTCGTAAAGCTCTACATCACTAAGATCCCTCAACTATGCGGGCATTTTCGTTTTCCTGAGGAAGTGGAGGCGACCGCCATCAGTTACTTGAAGCGGTTCTATCTTAAAAACACTGTGATGGACTGGCATCCAAAGAATGTGATGTGCGTTCGTGTGTTACTCTGATATCCCTAATAACTCTATGCTCTTTGAAGGCTCACCACACTATTTCTTGCTACGAAAACCACCAACAACCCAATTTCGTTGGAATCTTACACCTCTAACATCCCGAAAACGTCCAGCTCAGACGTTCTCGATCTCGAGTTCCTGGTGTCTCAGAGCCTGAATTTTGAGTTTGCAGTTTGGCATGCCCACCGCGCTCTCTGGGGCATTTGGCTCGATCTTCAGGTAACCGCAATGTCTGTGACATCATTTCCACGCTGGGACTCACGCAATTACAGAGCCTGCCCGACGTATCCGAGGACCTTCGACCACAGGATGTCTATGATATTGCCATCAAACACGTCCGGGCCTCCCGTTTTACCGATGCAGAACTCATCTACACGCCCTCACAAATCGCTCTCGCTAGCCTGGCTCTCGCCTCCCCAGTTCTCGCAGAAAGATGGGCTGACTCGAAAGCGGTAGCTGGTGCTGCACAACCTTTTTCCGCAACCCTGGACCCTACTCTCGGATCGATCAAATATATCATCACGCAAATGGGACATCCTCCTGATGTGGAAGCCGTCCGCGAGGTTGATAGGAGGTTGAAGCTATGCAAGAATCCAGAGAAGGTCCCTGGTAGCAAGGCCTATCTTGCACGGCAAGTAGCTGAACAACAACGAGCAGAAGAGAAACGCAATAAAAAAGCTGAAGACGTTAGGAGAGCCGTCAATGAGGGTGGCGATCCATTCGGGAGCGAGCTTAATGAAGATGAAAAAGCAAAGCAGTTGGCTGAGCTCGACGACGACGATTAGGACAGAGCTGCTCAATAACTATATGATCTTTATATTATAATGTGACCCTCGAGTAAATTAATACAAGCGTCATCTCAGATATCAAATGAATCGGAGAATGCAGAGAGGGATGTAACGATCACTTTTGGCTACACATTGACCCCCTCAGATCATGACCTCGGAAGGCTAACTGGGAGGCTTCGAAAGAGCCGGTACCAATATGTGCGGGACAGCTGTATTTCCCTGTGCTGTTGTGAGATTTGTAATTATGGCATGGAGACAAACAAAGACCCTCAATTTAAGAAGGAAACTGAGTGAACAAAAACCGTGAATAGAAGTTCCCATCACATCCGCGGTTATCAATCATACAGGAAGCGCAAACCGGCGATGGAGGTTATCGCAAACGAAAGAGAAAATGGCTTGAACTCAACAAAAGCTGAGTGCAGCCCGACCATATCACAGGTTTGCGCTGGATATCTTGGTGAATACACGGGTATCTTCTTGCATGTCAAGCTACAGATAGAGCAACTACCGTTCAAAAACCTGGAAAGTCTTGAGATCATGAAAAAATTAAAACAAGTAAGTACATACAACATTCGCAATCAAAAGGACACAATGGTGTGTCTGGAGTCGGGTGAATCTTGAATGTTGATGAAAGTAGGTGCACAACATACCTCCTCCGGCATTGGATATACCTAGTTCATCTTCTTTGTATATGTTTAAACCATCGTCAGTTTTTCGTCCTGGCGCAGGGTTAACGAGTCTAAAGTAGCAAGACGAAAGGGAATTTACTAGGTCCAGAACCCCTCGAATCCTTGAAACGGTCTTCGTCATCTTTGCGCATCTCGCGATAAACCTTTTCACGCTGTGAAGAAATTGGAACATCCAACTTTGGACGTTTACTGCTGCTGGAAGATTTGAATGATGAATCTACAACGGTCTCGGGAAGCGGCCGTTTTTTCAGTGTTTTTGGTTCTGAAGATCGACTGATCTCCTTCGTTTCATCGCTAGTGGTGGGTCTGTCTTTTCTTTTTTTCTTTTTCTCCTTCTTGACGGATGGAAGAGGAGCAAGCTCTATGGCTTTCGCCTTTCCTTTGGCAGCAAAAATGTCGTCTATTTCTGATGTGGGCATGGAGAAGGATTAAGGCTGAGAATGAAAAAATCAGAGCTATAAAATCATTGTGACTTGTCACATACGTCACGGATCATAATTATGCGAATGCGTCCGAGTTGATCAACATGTTCCATTTTCTGGTACATAGAGGCGGTCAATGATCATGATGCGACTATGAGCGAGAACGTTAGGTAGTTGAAGGATTCAAAATTACATGAGTGAGCTATATGAGAGATTTCTGTACTGCAGTCACACCTGACTAATATTAACCGTGTTGACTTGAATTTCCTGATTTGTTGAATTCTGCTTTCCTTGCCCGGTTCGACCGCCAACAAGTATTACTATTAGTTCAAGCAGGTGAAAGTACTTCCGTCTAACTCCTGAGCCATGTTGTAAGCTTTCCATTTCCATTTTCCCGTTCTAAATCATCATTCCTCCCAACAGGCCCCAGTCTGCACAACAAATCAGACCTCAGCAAACCCACCAATCTCAGCAACAAGGAAATGTCCCGTTCATCCCCCAGAATTCGCCTCAAAACTTCGAGACAAACCAGTACTTTACTGGTACCCTTGATCTTAATGCTGCTGCAAAGCAAATGGCAGCCATGAACGCTGCAGGGGTCCAAAGACAAATGGCAAATGTCAACGGCCGCTCGCCTGCGTCTGTTGGCGGAGTATCTCCGGGATCATATCTCGGTGGAATGACATCCTCTTATAATCAACCAGGCGGCTTTACTGGGCCACCTCACGATAATACGAATTCGATGCAATTCAATCCCACAGCCTCCTCAGGTCAATTAAATACCCAAGGTATTTACCCTGCCCAACAGACCACCAACGTCACCCCAAATCCTTCTCTAAACGCACCCATGTCTCATCCAAACTTCACCCCATCCGAAGCTGTCAAGCATCGACAGCGAACTTTTCTCGCAGGATTGGCCAGCGCCCATGCTACCCGCGTTCCCTTACCGCCAGCTTTAACTGGAAACCCATACCCACCCAATTATGACCCTACAAATTCGCAATGGAAATCTCTGGACTGCCCACCAGGTCAGCCGGGTGTTATCCGCTTGGGTGGAAAGGACATCGATCTCCTGAGGTTATGGCAAATTGTAACTCAATTGGGAGGATGGCAAAAAGTTTGTTGATTCATACTCTATCAGTTTCGAATGCTGAAACATGACAACGTAGATCACACAACAACAAAATGGCTGGGCACAAGTTGCTCACCAGTTCGACCTGCCAGAGTTCCTTCCTCACCTATCGAATTCTGGGCAGCAGCGCCCCGTTGGTCAAATTCTGGGACATTTATACGCTGCCATCTTACAGCCATTTGACGAGTTTTACCGTCGTAATATGCAGGAGGGCAACCGTAGGGCAATGGCGGCTGGACGCCAGCCAGGCGTTAACGCTGGGCCTCCCAACGTGAATGCAGTGCCTGGTGCACCTCATGTAGGATTGCAACAAGGAGCAGTTGCTCCGAACGCAGTCGGCAACATGATGACGCAACACGCGGTTAACAATCAAAATTCCACTATCAGCCCTGCCTCTCAGTCACAGCCATTACCGCAAAGTCCTCATTTACGCCAGTCTTCTGCACCCAATTTTCAATCACCCGCTGTTCCCTCAGACCCCACACCTCAGGCGTCATCCCAACTCAACGCTTCAATTTCTGCGCCCCAGCTTACGAAACCAACACCGGATGCATCTGAACCAGAAACTCAAGGGGCAAAAAGAAGACTAGAGTCCGAAGAGGCAGAAGGGAAACGAGCAAGGCAAAAGACAGGTATTTCTCACAGATATCATCTTGGCCACCCAGTGAATCTCATCTAAGTTGCTACAGATCCGCCAGATACCGTGAGTGATGACTGGTGAATCTTTATGCCCTCGAATTGATTTTTTTCCAGACCGAGACCACTAATACCACGACACCACATGGATCCGCTGCCCCCTCACGTACACAATTTACGAGGACAAAAGTCGAGTACATTCCCCTGTCACGTGAAATTGATTTCACTGGTGGCCGTGATTTCAACGTGCTGGAGGAGGATTATCTTCGGTCTCAGCGGCGGCCCATGCGTGATATCAATGAGTGGGGCACAGTTGACATTGAATCCCTTACGATGTCCATCCGATCGCGACTGAATGCCGAGCTTTCCTATGCTCTAACCACAATCACGTTGTTATCTACGATGCGGGGTCCAACCCCTGGGTCTGGATTTCCCATTTCCCAGTGCACAGATTTGCTCGAGGAGGTGCTAGATCTACTTGAGGAGGAAGCATTTGGGACCACCCCCGACATCACAGATTATCGGCTTGGCAATGGTGCCGAGATGGTGCGACATCGGGCGCTCGTAGATGATGTTTTCGAGAAGGAATCTATGCTCTTTGCAGGGCTAGAAATTCGTGATCCTCAGTATGAGACACGTGGTCCAGGCCACCGCGCAGGGAATATTGTGCTCACTGTGACTAACCTCATACGAAACCTTTCTGTCACCCCGGACAATATGCCCTGTCTGTCGAGACACGAACGCACACTCAATCTTGTGCTACGTGTTTGTGGTATTACCATGTCATCAGACGGAACACCCAAACCAGCTTCACCGGCACTTACTCTTTCAGACGTGATCAATGTTCGAAAAGATGCACTCCATATTTTTGGTAATCTGTCGAATTACATCGTGTTCTCGAATCCTAACTCTCCATCGAATGCAACAACTCTCACTGCGAGCCGCATCCTTGAAATCATCGCGTCTATCCTCATAGAGCCCTTCGACTCAGTTCCCCCCACACAATTCCTCAAACAAAGTGGAGTTCCTTTCTCGCATAGTAGGCCATCATCTATTGCCGACCTTGCCCTCGACGTTTTCACCCGCCTCGGTCAGCTGGACTCTAATCGGCAGGTTTTCTCTAGGGTTATGCCCCAATCTCTCATCTGGCGACTATTGAAGTCCCTCGTTCATCGTCTACCAGTATCAGACCTCGACTTTGCTTTCCTCAACCGGGACCCATGGTTATCTTACTTGGAAAAATCAATTATGGCAATTTATACGATCGCATTCTTTTCTCCCCCGGAACTAAAGAAGAAGATCAAAACAGATCGCCCTCTGTGTTTCTCACAGGTTATGATTCGTATAGTGCAACGATTTGTATCAATGGGTGGGAGCCCAGAGGTGCGCCAGTGGCACCTTGCCGTTGCACGAAGAGTGGTAGAAGCCATGAAAGTGGTAGATGAAGAGGATGATGCTTTTGACACCTCGCAGTCCACTCAAACCCCATTGGCATTTGGCATGGGCTTTATCGATGGTAATGATCCTGGTATTGAAAAGGGTATAGGGTTACTTGCTAGCCGTCGGGACGCTGCTTGGGAATTGTTGATGCGAGATCTGGATCCTGTGATGTTTTCAGAGCTGGAGAGTTTGATGAGAGTTGAATGTTAGCCTGTTGCTCGGCTCGCGGTACGATACTGTTGGTTATAACGTGTTGTATACTAACCCCTAGTGCTCTGCACATTTTGTTGTCGATACTATGTAATTCTGGATATCCATGTCAACTGTCGAATTTGTTGTCCTCCCAGACATTTGATCTGTAGAATTATTAATTTTTGACTTTCTGACTTATCTTGTCCGGGCTGTGCAATCTTTTACAAGCAGGCTCTAGCCGCTAGCAGCTTGACGGAATCTCACATCGTCATACACCATCACTCTAGATCCAAGAAAAATAGAGGGTAATTGGCTCCACGTTACATGACGTCCTACACGGCGCCTCCGCCAAATTACTCTCCAGAATGCCCACAGAATCTACTTCGGGCGCTGGATGAGCCGATCTCTGGCCTTCAGATCTTCATCATCCCAGCAACAGACACGTTGACCTTCCAAAAGGGCTATCTAGGAGCTGAAGGAGAGCGCGCTGCTATCGAGGGAGAAATTCATGTCAAGGGTGCACAGCCAGGCCAATGGAAACATGTGTTAGTGTGACTGCTCCTCATCTATTCCGAGTAACTCACCATGGCAGAACAGCACCGTGGCTCTTTGTGTCATCGAGTCTGCGTTTGGCCAGGAAATCGAGCTGGGAAAATCAGAGATAAACCTAGTCTCGTTCACGGGGACGTCCGACTCCATGTCATCTTCAACGTCATTCGCAATACCCCTGACATCCGATGCACCTCAGTGTATTCATACACCTCATTCATCTCTGGAATATGCACTTACGGCGACTTTCCATCCTACGAATACGTCGGAGCCACTTGTGTCAAGAAGGATTGTTGTGCATACGCGACGTTACACTTCACATTCTCATACTGTAGATACGTTGCCAGAAACACACGTCCTGGAAAGTCCCTCCCGTGTCGAAGTCCAAGTTCCTCGCACTATATTCCGGGCCGGTGAATTCATTCCAGTCTATGTTACCGTGCCTCCGCCGAGCAGAGAGCTTATGCTGCACGAAGGACTCAGACTCCGAAACGTAAAAACCGAGATCGTTCGCATCGTGAGCCTGAAAGAGCAAGATGATGGTGGTGATTCTGAATCTGGTACGCCTTATGGTCAATCCGTAGTGGACTTGTCATCTCAGGATGGGCCTTCATCGGTGGTACCCACTTCTCCTGCGGAGAAGCCTCCGATCACTTCTCCTGGATCGGCCTATAGTACAGTAACTTCTCGCTCAGGTGCATCCTGCAGATTTCACTCCTCTCGACCCGTGCGACTCCGCCTCATCTTGCATCAGGCTTCACCATCTGCGTCACCAGTAGATTATCAGACAAGTTTGCCAGAGGGTGACTACAGCAGCCTTGACAACGATCTGCAATGCATCTCCATCACTCAATCCACCCTTCTACATTCAGTCTCTTTCCTTCTAAACGTCCACGTTTCATTCGTGGAAACAACCAGCAGGACTGAGCGGCTCATGACTATCCCCATCCCATTAACCATCATTCCGCCCCCGGCGCCACTGCCTGAAGTTGAAGAATGGGTTGATGCCGCATATCAGAAAAAACACGACCGCCCTCCTTTGAGGACAGTTCGTCAAGAAGATCCAGAGTCATCAATTCCCTTGTATCAGGAAGGAGAAGCGGGTCCAAGTTATACTCAGAACGGTGCCCCTCCCCCTTTTGAAGACCGCGACTTGCCGCCTCCACCATTCTTCCATTCTATGCCTTCTACGTCCAATGCTCCACCAAGCTTCCAGGAATCTGAGTCGGAAATATTTATTCCTTCAGACACAACGGACCAGGAGGTACCTGTAACCACAGCACTCCGTGTCATCGGCGAGGGAATATTGTTTGGGTTTGCTGCATCTGAGCAGTTTGATGGTCATTCGGACACAGTGCACCGCTCGTCAACTCCACCCCCTTCAGTGGAGATGGCAGAGCGAGATGCAGATGTGACGGGATTTGCTAATATCGGAGTTGAACCCGTCCGAGTCTTTGAGGCTCTGAATATCGTTTCAGATGATTGCCCCCCACGCTCTGGAGGTGAACTCCCTCCTCCACCGCCTGCGATGGATGATCCGTCAGACCCACCTCCTTCGATAGATTCTGATTTCAGGTCACCTTCGGTCCGGGTCCCCGTGCAATCTCACTCACCCCCCCTCGCCCATCAGTCATACAATCAAACTCCCGCGACTCGTGATTCTCTACACCCTCCCAATGATATCTTGGATTCTTCCTCACATGGACATGCGCCACCGCCTTATCTTGTTCCTGGCAGTGACCCTGACCATGAGGAACACGTGACACGACCACCTCCGTACATGGATTTAGTTCCCTCTTCATCGTATTTGAACAGCTCAATTCACTAAAGGGACTTGGTTGCCATTCCAATCTGTGCATTTCTTAGAACTTACTGTCACCTCAGATGTGCTGTGCTGCAACTGTATTTATAAGTTACCATCGAACCGTACCGTACCAAGTCCAATGTTTGTGTTGCAGATGAATTATAACAGCAGATTACATATGAAGGCATAGCCACGTAGATGGCAAAGAGAGGGGAATAAAAGGTGTGCTAATAAGTAGAAGCGAGATGGTCGCGAAGGTTGAAGATGTGCGGTCCAAATGATTAGCGCCACACTCAACAGTTGCATCCGTCTTTCTTGGACTGTTGCTCCTCGAGGATTCACATCCTCTCTGGCTCCACCAGTTCGTCCGCCTGCACCACCGGATCGACCTGCACCACCTCGTGTGGAAGCCAGAATGTGCTCGATCGGTATTTTCTTCGCTGAATTTGATTTTTAAAGGGAGTTCCATGTGGAGTGCAGTGGGCGTACCTATTTCTGTAAATATCTCGACGACACCCTCGCCAGTCTTGGCACTGGTTTCAAAGAAGAGCAAGCCAGCCTCGGTAGCGTAAGCCTGAGCCTCCTCACGTGGCACCTGTCGCAAACTCTCTGGCTCGTCACCACCAGCACTAGGACTCTCCCCAGGCGTGGCTGTAGCATCATCCGCCTCATCTTCAGACTCGGATGATGGAGTGGACCCAGATGACACAGCGGATGTTTGTACGAGATCAACTTTGTTGCCAGCCAGTGCGATAACGATGTTGGGATTTGCCTGTCTTTGAAGTTCCTTCACCCACGACTTCGCCTTCTCTAAACTCGTTGCTTTCGTCACGTCGTAAACGACCACTGCGGCTTGAGCATTACGATAATACATGGGCTATATTCACGAATCAGAGCAGGTGGTAAAGCTGTGCTCGAAACCTACAGCGAGAGAGTGGAAACGTTCCTGGCCAGCAGTGTCCCAAATCTCATAACGTAGGACGCGGTCTTCGAGACGGCATTTCTGGGTCAAGAATGCTGCACCAATGGTGGGCTCCTTGTTTGCTTGAAATTCGTTCGATACCTAGAAAGCGGTTTAGAGGTGGCAAATGTAGGAAAATATACACCTACAAAACGGAGGACTACCGAAGATTTGCCAACAGCGGCCTCGCCTATAGATGTGTATCAGTTCTCGTTCGTTGCCAAGGAAGAGTGAGGGCGGGAGTCTTGAGCCAGTTTGATAGCAAGTGCGAATAGTGTCGATGGTACTTTTAGTGATAGCTGAGAAGGCTTACCGAGAAGAACCAGTTTGACCTGGACAGACCTGTCCACGGAGCCAGAAGCAGCATCAGCCATTATTATCGTGTCGAGGTTGTAAAGAAATATAGACACTGCAACTTGAAGGAAGGAAGCAGGCGGCAACAATTCAGTACTGCTGCGTTTTCCGACTTTGTTTACGTCTGTATTCAGATCTCACACTGGGTCAGCCCCAACTCATCTACAGTAGTTGGATGACTTTGTCTGGCGTCGATACTACTAGGGCCTATAACCCAACAAAGGGGCCAGCTGCGCACATCTCACATCGATCTCATCATTTTCGATTTCTCCATCCTGCTTGAAAACGCCAGGTCAAGCATACAGGTTTCACATTCAACGCAGGAGCGTGTCCTCTCAACGGGTCAAGCCCCACCTGCAACTGGCTCTTCGAAGCTGCAGCAGGCGAATGCTGGTTTGATTCAAACACCAAGGATGACTCGATTCAGTAATCTTATCCATCCTTCCTTTGTCAGGGTGATGCTGCAAGATGGGAAGATGTCTCTGACAAGGACATTGTGTATTCAATAGCCGTCAGTATTGTTGCACTATCCAGCTCGAGCTCTCGTAGTGCGAGGGGCCTCGATTGGAACTAGGCTTTGATTCACGGTTACGTGGCTGCTATCCTTGGCTGAAGAACCACGGGTTGCGATGAATGGTCAATTGATATTGTGACGGATAGTCCCTCCAATACCGCATTTGAAATTCGGAACCATAGAATGCATCGCGCTGTGAATGATATCATACCTCATTGCATTTTAGTGTTAGTGTTTCAGTGAGTGAAGTTTAAATTTGGCAAGTGAGGGTATCGCGTGAACGACACTCCGACGGGCTGAAATTAGTACTGGTCTGACCTTGCCGGCATTTGGGTTGCTTCGGCACTCTCAGGCTCTGGACTCAGACCTTGAAGTACTCAGGAATTCTGACAAACCCAGTTCTATGTACCTCGCCAGCCCACCCGGTGAGTTCTGCGAACGAGCATCGAGGCAGTCAACATACTAGACACGGATACAGATTTTCATCCAACCAGGGAGAGCATACCCCCTCCGGATGTGAGCTACCAGCAATCGGTGCTCGGTCTTGCCCCCAACATACATCCTCTTGTAAGCAATATCTCAATAGTATCCACCGTCTCTTTACTCACCAGAATTCCCATAAGAACCCCTTCTCCTTTATTCTTCGTGCCGCAACCTTATACCCGGACAAACTTGCCCTTGCTCATCCAGATGTGAAACATCCTGCGTTCTATACCTATGCCGTTTGGTGGGGCCACCGTGCTTCGTCGAGAACTAGTCTGACAGCGACAATAGGGCTCAACGCATCCAGAACATGGCATATGCTCTTATACAAGCAGGCATCCGCCCAGGTGACCGCGTTGCAGTTATAGCGCCCAACTGGTGAGTTCTACTGTATCACCCGCTTGACACATCTCACACAAAATTACGATAGCCCCTTGATTGCAGGTATAACCCCCATTTTGTTGCACCTGACAATAATGAAACACTCTCGGCAGATGCTCACTTTGGTGTTCTTGCCGCTCGTGCTATCGTCA